CTGCACCTGACATTTTTCACTTGGAGATCTTTTATATTAGCACATACATAGATATACCCTGTTCTTCACAGCTGTAATTACTCCACAGCATGGAAGGACTTGCTTGTGATGGACATTATAAACAATGATGTAATTATCACCCTTGGATATATATATTTTTAGCACTTGAATATCTGTGGAATAATTCCTAGAAGTGATATTGCTGTTTCAAAACTTAAATGCTGTATTAGTTTGTTTTTGCACTGCTCATAAAGACATACCTGAGACTGGGTAATTATAAAGAATAAGAGGTTTAATGGACTCGCAGTTTCACATGGCTGGGGAGGCTTCACAATCATGGCAGAAGGCAAAGGAGGAGCACAGTCACATCTTACATGGCAGCAGGCAAGAAAGCTTTTGCAGGAGAACTCCCATTTGTAAAACCATTAGATCTACGAGACTTACTCACTACCACGAGAACAGTATGGGGGAACTGCCCTCATGATTCAATTATCTTCACCTGGCCCCACCCTTGACATCTGGGGATTATTACAATTAAAGGTGAGATTTGGGTGAGATTTGGGTGGGGACACAGCCAAACTATATCACATACATTTTAAAATTTGATAGATACTACCATTTCTACCAAAGATATAGTATCAATTTCCTTCCCCCCAACAGCATATAAAAATGCTCCTTTCCTCACATCATCACAACCACTGAGTATTATCAAACTGTTCATTCTTTTCTACTCTGATAGGTGAAATATTGTATCTTATTGATTTCAAATGCAATTATTTAACTATGAATGGTGTTCAGTGGTTTTTAAAATACATTTGTAAGTCTGGGAAGTTATTTATTAAACACTAATTTAGATATTTTTCTGGATGCATTAATATTTTTTTCAGACTCCCCCCCAGGCAAAAGAAAGTTCTAGGATGTGATGGAGCATCAAGGCCAGAGGGGCCATGCCTCTTGCCTGGCAACACTATTTCTTATAATAAAATAAGTCATGGTGGACCTGTGTTCTCTATAATAGTAATGAGATGAAGGAGACAAGTGAAAAAAGGGTAGTGGGATCATGACTTAATTTCAAAGGGCCTAGATGAATGATAGCAGGTCTTCAAATGGTAATTCCCCAAAGAGATGACACACATTAGGCGTAACAGATAATGTTTCAATTGTAATTCCTAGACTCTAGTATTTGCATAACACTTTGTACTCAGAGCACAGACGTTGGGATCTGATATCCCTGATTCTGCCACTTCTCTTTGTGGCCTTAGCAATGTTCCTTAATCTAACTGACCCCAATTTCCTCTCCTCTAGTTAAATAAGAATTGTAACCTTAATAACTAGCTTCTAAAGTTTTTAGGACTATTAAATGAGATAATTGCTATAAATGAAGTACTTTGCACAAACTTTACACATAGTGGGCCCTCAATAAAAGTTTGTTATTATTATTAAAACAGTTTTACCCATGACTTTATTCACATTGCATGGCTAATTTGAGACAAGAACTCCTTTCATCTGCTTCTAGGAGCCTAGGTCTCTTGCCACTCATAGAGTAAAACAGCATAATGACCAGCTCTTTGTTACTTCCACAAACAATAGTAGGTAGGATCAAAAACTCAGCTTATGCTGTAGAGAATTTTGAGTTAACTTCAAGGAAGAAATCCCCCATGAACAAGGTTCTTAGCCTATTTATGCCTAGTGTTCCATTATTGGAATGCTAAGCATGTGGGAGTTATTTATATCCTACTGCTCAAGGTCATTGCCAAGGTCTGATTACAAAAATTCAAAAAATTGCAACCTCAGGCATAAATGGGTTAAATTTTTCAAAAGGAGGGTTAAGGGTTCCCCATTTCTTTAAGTAGATGGTTCTCAGCTCTAGCTGCTCATTATCATCCTCTGGGAAGCTTTTAAAAAATACTTATTCTCAGGCTTCCCATACCCAGTGTATTAGGCTGTTCTCATATTGCTATAAAGAAATACCTGAGACTGGATAATTTATAAAGAAAATAAGTTTAATTGGCTCATGGTTCTGTAGGCTATACAGGAAGCATGGTGGCATTTGCTTCTGGGGAGGCCTCAAGAAGCTTCCAATAGTGGCAAAAGGCAAAGGGGGAGCAGGCACGTCACATGATGAGAATGGAGCAAGGGCAGGGAGGTGCCACACACTTTGAAATGACCAAATCTTGCAAGAACTCACTCATCATCGCAAAGACAGCACCAAGCCATGAGGGATCTGGCACCATGATGCAAACACCTCCCACCAGGCCCCATCTCCAGCACTGGGGATTACAATTTAACATGAGACACTGGCAAGGACAAATATGCAAACTATATCACCCAGAGATTCTGATTTAAGTGTCTGGGGTTGGGGCTGGCTTTGGTATTTTTAAAAACATGTAGTCAGGCTAGAGAACCACTGCAAAGCAGAGCTGCTCAGTGGCTCATGCATGTTAGTGCAGTGGTTCAATCTCGGCTGCCTGATAGAATCACCAAATGAGCACTGATGTTGGGCCTTATCCACAGAGATTCTGATTTAATTGGTCTTGGATTATAACTTAGTCATTAGGATTTCTAAAATCTCCTCTGGTAATACTAATGTGCATCCAAGGTTGAAAACCACTCTGAAAGACTCTAGATTTTGGAGCTTCATCCATAGAAATTTCCTTTTAGGTCTGGAATGGAGTTGTGGTACATTTGTTTTTAATAAACACCCCAGGTGTTTGTGTTGTTTGTACATAACTGAAGTAGAGGCTAAAAAAGGGCTGTACTTAGACATCTCTTATACAGCATCCTCCAGCATAGCTAAAATAATGGAAAACGTACAAAAGGAATAAGACGGTATTATACAATGTTAGGATCTTCTATTAGTACAGTTCACTAAATGACCTGTTGGGTAACTAATCTTTGTACAACATTGCCGTTCATAATGTTTAGATATTTTCTGAATTGCTCCTCAAAGAGTTCTGTGATCTATGTGTTGTTCTTATCACCCTTATTTTACTACAAATGTGCTGAGGATCAGAGAAGTTCTGGGATTTGGGTAAATTCACAATAGTTGTCATCAGCATGCTAACCCATGATTATTTGATACCAAATTTCATGTTATTCATTTTACTTTCCAGAGTGTATATAAAGATAGTTGGAAAAGGCACAGTTAGTTTAATAGTATACCGTAAAAACTAAGGATAATTACCGTTGTTGGTTATTGCATAGTAAATTCTGCAAGTATTCTGAGTGGGAACTTCTGGCTGATGGTAAACCTTGAAGTAGTCAGGTAAATCTTCTTTGTAAACATTTGAAGTAAGAAACCAGCAAAGGGATAAGCACCTTGAACTTTGGGTGAGGACTTTGCAGCTTGTTTAGGTAATTCAATGAGCTGTATTTAGTTGAATAACTACAGCCTCCATCTCTTACCTTTTGTCAGGTGTGCCAAAGAGCCTGAATTACAATGGTGTGAAAGAGCTTATTTTAGCAGTCGACGGGGTGGTGTCTGTGCACAGCCTGCACATCTGGTCTCTAACAATGAATCAAGTAATTCTCTCAGCTCATGTTGCTACAGGTCAGTGAGTTTTGTAAACACTCTGGAAAAAAATTCAGTCCTTGTCCTGTAAAGTCAGTAATTTCCCTCCTTTTTGTAGAGCTGCCCTTATTGTCTGTTGCTTGTCAAAACATTATAAAGTGTTTTCTATTACCAAGGGCCTTTGAAACCAGCCCACTTATTGATGTTGTCATAGCAACAATGATACCCATGACATCGTTGGGGCTGACTGCAGAGGGCCGAGGACAGACAGAACAAAGGACTAAAATGCAACCCCAACTTCAAGGCCTTGGACTCTGAAAATTCAACTTCATCTGTTTGGCTTGGTGTCCTATCAGTCAAATAATAGGAATGAATTAAAAACTTAATCTTAATTGAGTATCTCCTCTATATATGATGTTTTTCCTAGAACTGAAAATAGGAAGATGAAAGAGACACAGGCCCCGCTCTTCAATTTCTAACAAGCGAATGGATGTGCTAACAGGAATTATGGCGGGTCCCACACTGTGTGGTTAGAAATTCTGCAGCCATGTGAGAAAATTCTTATAATATTAGGTTTATACTAAAAATTACCTTTTCAAGAAGTTAATTTTTGTCTCTGATATGTCCTAGAGCTGGGAGACTAGGTAGTGAGAGAGCATTTACTGCCTCAGGAGAAAGCTCAGGCCAAAGATAATACATTAGGCTGCTAAAAAATGACTCAAGAAGTTACTTAGGGGCAGGGGACAGGAACACTAGTGACAGTCATTTGAAAACTGTGCTTTCTCAGACATCCTCATCTTCTCGAAGGGGCTCAGGTCTGACTTCAGGGAATTTACAGCATTCACTATGCCAATATTTCACTGCAAATGGAAGAATCTAGTAAACACTCAGGTTGCTATGGAGGGGACTTTACAGCCTGCTGATAGCATTTGGGACAGGAAAACAATATGGCAGTGAGGGTTGCTGCTCTAAGAAAGGTCTGTGGGGAGCTCTAAACGCTTCTTGGTTCCTGTCACTATCCTTGACATAAATTCTGATTACATACAAGGCCTGCAACCCAGAGATCCCTGGGAGCTGGTCAGCAGGGCTGTATAAGAAATAATAGTTCTGTCTTGGCTTTTTCCAGGGCTTGTCTCCCCTTCCATACTAAGCTCCTAGGAATGCCAGACTCCAGAGATAATAGCAGACAGAAAGAGTTCCCATAGCGACAGGGCACTTTCCTGCACTAGAGTTTCCCCTGCCTTGTCTGTGTGAGTGTAGCTGATTATCAGAGCCAACATGGCTTCCTCTGAGTGCCCTGCCTCTGCCCTGCCCCAGGAGGTCAAAGACAAAGTACTTGAAGTTGGAGTCACAGCAGTCACCCATGCGTGTGCAATCAGCGCTAATCTCCCTGTGGTTCTTTATCAACAGCAGCCAGCCGGGAGAGCCAAGTGGTTCGGAGAGAAATTGCTAGAGCCCTCAGCAAAAGCTTTACGGTGTACTCACTCACCATTCAGATGGAATCTCCAGTCGACCAGGATCCAGACTGCCTTTTCTGTGAAGACCCCCGTGACTAGCTCAGTCACATGTCAGCTTCCCAAATTTGACAGGCGGCCTTCAAACATGCTGCTATGCAGTTTCTGCATCATAGAAAATAAGGAACCAAAGGAAGCAATTCATGTCATGGTGCAATGCACATTTTATCTATTTAGTTAGCTCCATTCACCATGAAGGAAGAGGCACTGAGATCCATCAATCAGTTGGATTATATACTGATCAGTAGCTGTGTTCAATTACAGGAATGTGTATATAGATTATTCCTGAGTGGAGCCGAAATAATAGCTGTTTGTAACTATCGGCAGTACAAAATTCATCTCCCTTGCAATGATGCATCTTGAGGACACATAGGTAAATTTGAACTCAGGAAAGTCTTACTAGAAATCAGTGGAAGGGAAAAATAGTCACAAAATTTTCCCAAAACATGAGAAACAAAAAATAAGGAGAGCCAAGTCAGGAATAAAATGACTCTGTATGCTAACACCCCATTAGAACTTCGTTCTCTCACTAAGCTGTAATGTGATTTTTTTTTCTACTCTGAATTGGAAATATATATGAATATACAGAGAGGCACTTACAACTAATTTTTATTTACTTGTCACATTTTGGCAATAAATCCCTCTTATTTCTAAATTCTAACTTGTTTATTTCAAAACTTTATGTAATCCCTGTTCAAAAGAAAATATTTTCACCTACCAGAGTGCTTAAACACTGGCACCAGCCAAAGAATGTGATTGTAGAGACCCAGCAGTCTTCAAGAACAGCCGACAAAAACATTGGAGTTGACCCCACCAAGTTGTTGCTACAGATAATTTAGATATTTACCTGCAAGAAGGAATAAAGCAGATGCAACCGATTCATTCAGTCCACGAGCATGATCTGAGCACTGCTTTGTACTAGACATTGGGCTTAGCATTGGAACTATAAAGAGGAATCAGATGCAGCAAGTGCTTCTATGTCCTGGTAGCAACTCAACACTATCTGTGGAGAGTAAACTAAAGATATGCAGGCCAACATTCTGGAAATCCTATGTCAATGGGTTTGGTTTGGAACCTGGACTTCTACATTTTTAAAAGTTACCCAGAGATGCTTCTAAAGATGAGCCATAGTCTAGAAGATTGTCAACCACAGGAGGTCATTGAGTGGGACAGCTAGACACATACACAGGCAGCTACAGTAATATCTTGAATTGCAATGATGTAGTGGGGTATAAAAGGAAAGCGATAGATATTGCTGGATGGGCATGGCCAGTGAGGTTTCATGTCACTGAGGTGACAACCCTGTTGGACTTTGAATTACATATGGAGGTTCTCCAGGCAGATGAAGAAGAGAAGGCATTCTAGACAAAAGGAAGACTAGGCGCAAGGCACACTTATGTTTGCCTGTTAGCTTTTAGTTGAAAAAGCAAAATACGTGATGCAAAGAAAACTCTCCACGCTGTGATTTTTAAAACTACATACTTTTTGCAACTTTATGGTCATGAATATTGTAGAGAACAGGAGATAGGTCTTAGATGATTTTTATGCTGTTGTCAGACTCTAGCAGGGTACTAGAAACCTAGCAGGCATTAATAATTGTTGAGGCAATGACTCTGAGACTATATCTGGGCCTTGTCATTATTTATCATTTATATTTGTATTTTTTTTCTGAAATTTGAGGGCCAAGAAAACATTGACTTTGACTGAGAAGGTCACATCTGTGCCATCTCTGCAAATCAATCAGCACCACTGAAATAGCTACTTAGCATTCTGCTGAGCTTTCCCTGCTCAGTTGAAATGAATATACTCATCCCTCACCTCAATGAGCATGTTTAGGCAACCAGGATTAGAGCCCCTCAGGTTCCCAATGTCTCCTGCCACATCCGATTCTCAAAATGGAAAGAATGGTTTATGCCAAATCATTTTTCCTGTCTCAAGGACCACTGAATGGTTTTGTTTTTCCATATTTTGCATAGGACACCCTAAAGACTAGGTGACTCGGCAAACACACAAGTTTTAGTATAATTCTTTGCTTCTGCTTCCTTTTGAAACCCATGTTTAGATTTGATTTTATGTCAGAAATTCACTGAATGTCAGGTAATCATTAGGGAGGGAGATTTGTGTGTCAACCAAAGGAATTGTCCCATGGGTGCAGGGTGTTTCTGCTGTTTGCCTGAAATTCTGCTTTTTTAGTGAGCTAGACTGAAAACTCTGAACAGTAGATGTTTTTGTGGCAAAATGCAAGGCAATCTACAACAGAGATTTTAAGGATTTTGAGATGAAAAAACAGATGCTACTCAGGGGCTTTATGCACCATCCATCAATTCTGAAGTTCTGACTCCCATTACCATTTCCCTAGTGTGGTTAGAACTTCAGGCCACCAGAAGTAAGTGGAATAATGTAGTTGAATTCTTTACTTCATGGTGTTGTATCCTCTCCAGCTATCAAGACGTTAATGATCTTCTATGTCTTTTCTTAGTATTATTATACTTCAAGTTCTGGGGTATATGTGCAGAACATGTAGGTTTGTTACATAGGTATACACATGCCATGGTGGTTTGCTGCACTCATCAACCGGTCATCTACATTCCTTTATGTCTTTCAAAGCAACACTCTATTCTTCTGAGTGGTGAAATCAGGTCAACTTTACCACCACCCTCCATTTTTAATATGCTTCACCGTCATCCAGCACCCACTTAAGATTTATCTAGGGCTCTATGGTGATGTTAGGACCCATAAAAGAAATGTATGCCTTCCATATGTTTGGTTACAGATGGGAAATGGGAATGTTGAAGGACATGAAAGAAAGGATGTTTACACATTAAGCATCAGTTCTCAAGCTAGATTGCCTGAGTTTGAATCTTAGCTCTTCCCTTTATTAGCTCTGTGACCTCAAGCTAGTTACTTAAATGCCCTGATCCTCTATTTCCTGATCAGTAAAACCTCCCTGTTCAAATGTGTGAGAGTTTAACAAATTAGGACACTTTAAAAGGTTGGAGCTGTGCATAGCACGTAGTTAGCATTCAGTACATGTTAACTGTTATTTTTTATTATGTACAAACATGAGTGGGCACAGAATTTTAAATCATCTAAACTTTTGAGAAATTTTGAGTTATCAACACAGTTCCCACAAGACAGCGGCAAAATTATTGGTGAGAATTAAACAGCTGTTTCTCTGAGGAAGCAATGGAGGCTTGCTGGGATGAAGGCATTTACTGAGAGGCTGTTACCTAGTGAGAGTGATGAATTAATTAAAATAGTCGAATCCCTTTCTGACTCTCTCTGAAAGCTTCCACTTTTATCTTTGAAAAGCAGAACTGTCACTCCAAGGACATTTATTAACAAAAAGTACAACTGTCCAGTGCGATGAAGACAAAGTCTTAGGTCTCCCAAGTCTTACACTATTCCTGTGAAATATCATGTCCTTGGCTTTTCTCTGTCATGTAGCCTCAACTTTCTCTGACCAGGTGCATTTCCTTCTCTGGTTTCTAAATTGCCAGGGGCAAATTTGGATCACTTAATATCTGTTAAATTTTGTGACCTGACAAAGTCTTTTAGCACTGTAGTGTTAAAAAGAAAAACACCTCCCAGGCATATACATTTTATAGATTCCTGGAGAATGTTGCTCTCCAGCTCCATCCCCACCCAGTGAAATATGATCCAGAGAGTCTTGCAAAGAGACAAGCCTCATTTTCCACAATTAGCTCTAAAGTGCCTCCAGGAAATGATTTTCTCAGCTCATCTCTCTGTATTCCCTGTTTTGGATCACAGGGCAATCTGTTTAAATGACTAATTACAGAAATCATTAAAGGCACCAAGCAAATGTCATCTTTGAATACCCACATCCCAAGTTTTACAAATCCTGCCTGGCTTGACAGTGATGAGGCCACTTAACAGTCCAGCGCAGGCGGATGTTAAAAAAAATAAAAAGGTGACCATCTGCGGTTTAGTTTTTTAACTTTCTGATTTCACACTTAACGTTTGTCATTCTGTTACTGGGCACCTGTTTAAATTCTATTTTAAAATGTTAGTGTGTGTTGTTTAAAATAAAATCAAGAAAGAGAGAGTTTGGGTTAAGTCATCTTTTTATCACCAAAATCATGGCAGGACATGTTTTTCATGACACCAATGAGGACTGTAATGAGAATACATTCTTTCACTCTCAGTCGTTTATTGGAAGAAATAACTCATTTGGGGAACATATTTGTCTAGAGGGATGGAAGATAATGTGTTAGAATCAGGGGTGCTTTTGAAATTATGGGCATAAAACCCCAATGGGGGAGAAGATGGTGGTCAGATGTGGCAGGAGCCCTTGACAGTTGTGAAAAACAAACTTGTGCTGCTTCAACCATAAAGCCAGGAAGTGATGAGAGATGTTAAGCTGAATTGCACCCCTTTCAGGAGTGTCAGTCAAGTCCTGGAGACAATGTATCATTATAATTGCCCTACATTTCCTTTCTTCAAAGGGACACCCATTTGTCAAAAACATAATTATCCTATTTACAGCCATTAAAACCCTATGGTTGTTATACACAGTCCAACAGTACTATCAAACATTATTTCCCTGAATCTGTTGAGTTTAGGAGTATTTTGGGATATTGCAGAAGAAGAAAGGGCACCAGCTGTACTGAAGATATTGTAAACCATGGTGAGTTAACCTGTACAATGGAATTAGGATCAGATGCGAATTTAGGGTTTCCTTTGAAGTTAAATTGCGTTCTTCAAACGGGAATCAGTAGAGATTTAATGAACCAGTGCCCTGGTTTGTTTCTAACTCTGCCTCCATTTTTATAGAGATGAATAGGGGATTTTATTGGGCATATACGTGAGATTGATGAACAAGAATTTCTGTCATTGCCTTATTCTCCACTCCATAATTGCCTCTGACATGGCAAAAGTCCGCGGTCAGGGAAAGAAGAATGCCCTGTGTTGGCATTTCTTTACGGCAGTACTTTCTATGAATAATTAATGCCCCAGAAAGACGAAGCCTCTTTTTCTGGTTTCCACCTACTCATAAAGTTCAGCACCTTGTATCAACTTGGATGGGGAAAGGAGAGTAGATTTCCCTGGCTCAATAAGTTCTGAATTCATAAACAAGAAGCAGATTCCCTTTCCATTCAACCTCCAATCCTTTATAAAGATAAAGCTGTGGAGATGGTCTTTCAGGATCTTAGATTAGATAATTTTTCATGTTCTAATAAGAAAGTTCTGAGGGAAGCACTGTGATCAAACATAGCTGATGAGAATACACAATTATTTTTATTCTTTTTCTTATCCTCCTCCTTTTCCTCTTTCTGCTCCTCCGCCGCCTCTTCCCCCTTCATCTTGGTAGCTCTTAAACACTGTAGAATTTACCACTTATCCTTCAACAAAAGAATTCTTTTTGCCCGAGAATAAACATTTGCACAATAGTAGAGATATTACAATATATAGATTTTGGAAAAAAAAAACCCTCAAATCCTATACCCTGAGACTTTTAATTCGTTAATTCAATTAATGTATTCATCAATCAACTGCAAGTCAAAACAACAGCAGGAAGTAGAATATTGCTTTAGGTAAGTTTGTATTTGTCCAGAAGAGTTTTATTAATATTTGGGATTATAATATTACTGAATTGCTAAACCCTAACGGTCCTGAAAAAACTCAATACTGATATGGTAGGCATCAACTTTAGGAAATCAACACACCTGCATTGCTTCTCCCTTGAAAAACATATTTCATAAAGATACTTTTCAGGGTAATCAAATCATGGAGTAATTTATATTTCCTGATGAAATTTTCCTGTTTATTCCAGAACTTGGTATTTCACTTTACTTTCCTTCTCTCATTACTGAGGTGACAGTTTCT